AAGTGGACGTATAAACGAGTTTATCGCAATGCCTTTGATGGCACCATGCCAAACCAACACTTTAATCGAGACGCTCCATTTGCGCTGCTGGCAACGCAGCTCGTCCAAATCAACAAGTAAACTAGTGGGCGGATCGCTTTTGGGGGCGGAGTGCTTTCGAAGTCCTGCTCAGCAACCAGCGCACCTTTCGTTGTGAAAGCGCCACACCTCGCTTTTTGGCAGCCAAGTAACTGCTTCGTGTGGTGCATATGCTTCCCCGATGCGCTCCCTCTTTATCGTAATCGCGCCTTTAACTTTCTTGATTGTACATAGAAGCGTTCATTTTCTGAGTGTACGGGACGTCCATTCATTGACGTGGACGGCCCTGACCGTGAACCTGAAACGATTCCGAAATTACCGTAGTGGACTTGAACTACTCTTGTATGGTTTTATGCGTTTATCTCCTTCACACATCATCATCTCTACAATATCGTGAAAAAACTCAACCAAGTGCACATTTGGTGCAAATTATTGTATTTCAGAAAACCTCGTAGCCCGGCGGATAGCTCCGTTAAGCTATATTTTCCTGCGTGATAACAGTAATAAAAACGATTCCTGCCCATTGTACATATTAAAACGTAAGCAGCCTCAAGGAAGCGATTACGATAAAGAGGGAGCGCATCGGGAAGCATATGCACCACACGAATCAGTTACTTGGCTGCCAGGGAAGCGAGTGTGGCGCTTTCACGACGAAAGGTGCGCTGGTTGCTGAGCAGGACTTCGAAAGCGCTCCGCCCCCAAAAGCGATCCGCCCACTAGTTTACTTGTGATTTGGACGAGCTGCGTGGCCAGCAGCGGCGCAAATGAAATATCTCGTCGTTTCGCTGCGGAATAAGCTTGATTCAGATTTTTTCAAACGAACGCATTCGAAAAGGTTTCAATTCCAATGGTCAAAGCATCTAAAACAACATATTACAGCTTCAGAAACGAGCTTAAGTTTGATGTTAACATGAGTACTATCGTAACGCGTGGCTTCCCATGGCACTGCCAGTGTAGCGGCTTCATAGCGCAGGGCCAGTGTTCGCCGCTCAGAGGGACGCCCGCTACGTATTCTCGCAGGGTTCGGGGGCACCGCCGCCTGAAATGTTTGCAGGCGTCAACAACCTTCCTGTTTGCGGCACCCACAACACACTCATACCCTCACGAATCTAGATGGCTCTCAGCATTGGCTTTGTATTGTTCAGCTCCCTCGTGGGAGAAACCGGACCATAAAAAGCCATTCAGTTTCTAAAGATAAAGGAGTCACCTGCACTATTATATAAGTGGTTATGGGAATCTTGAGGCTCTCTGGCCGATAGTGATATCCATTCAATTCAGCAACCATCAACAATCTTTTCTTCTAATATAGCGCTAACTATAAGGACGTGTGTCGGGTTTGTATGTCTGTAGTGTGTCGCGTTCTATGTATGTATGTGTATGTATGTGTGTCCGTCCGCAAAATGAAGTGAGTGAGAAGGAAGCTCATGGGATAAACAAACCGCTAACAAATCGGGTAGCTTACAGGATTTGAGATATCAATGTTTTGTAGCAGGATAGTTGTGATAACACTCTTAGGGCTATATAAACACCTGCTTAGCACACTTCCGTTCATTCCACATGGTGCTGCAGTGGCAGCTGGAGGGCAGTGGAGAGAGGGAGGGAGGAAGGAAAAAAAAAAAAAAAAAAAAAAAAAAAAAAAAAAAAAAAAAAAAAAAAAGAAAAAAAAAAAAAAAAAAAAAAAAAAAAAAAAAAAAAAAAAAAAAAAAAAAAAAAAAAAAAAAAAAAAAAAAAAAAAAAAAAAAAAAAAAAAAAAAAAAAAAAAAAAAAAAAAAAAAAAAAAAAAAAAAAAAAAAAAAAAAAAAAAAAAAAAAAAAAAAAAAAAAAAAAAAAAAAAAAAAAAAAAAAAAAAAAAAAAAAAAAAAAAAAAAAAGTAAAAAAAAAAAAAAAAAAAAAAAAAAAAAAAAAAAAAAAAAAAAAAAAAAAAAAAAAACGAAGGACCAAAACAATAGCGAAAAAAAAAAACAGGAAGAAGAAATAAGCAAGCATTTGGAGCACAGAGAACAAAAAAGAGAAAAAAGGTAAACCAAATGAACAGCAGAAAAGATTGAAAGCAGGAGGGAAAACATAACAACATAACAAAGAAAGTTATCTGAAATATAAAGTATAGACATATACTCAAAAATTACTATGAAAACTTAAACACTGACAACTAAAGACCGCAATAAAAAGGCCATAACTAGATAGATTGCATTATATCAAAATTGGACAGCGTGTGGAGTAATGCCAATAATTATGTAATCCATATCGGTTTACTCAAATTTTAGCCCAGCTTTTATGGTAGAACTTTGTTTGGCCAGAACTCCCACCGCACATGGCTTATAGGAGGAGTGGCGGACCACTATTGATATCGAAGCCGTCGCGGCCAGTCGGCCTGCAAATGTTGGCCGGCCCTTGCCGTTCGGCTCTGTTTTGGTGTCCATTCCATCCCCCATCAATTTTTAACGACCTGTAGATAGCTTGCCACACCATTTTGTTGATTCTTTCTAAATCGATTCGTTAATTGCCTCATCCTTATTTGCCTCTAACCTTGTGCAATAGTTATAAATAAATAAAATAAATAAATAAAAAATAAATTAAAGCGTAATTTGGTATGGTGCCATCAAATGCATTGCGGTGAACTCGTTCATACGTCCACTTTCTGAGCTGTTACCTGTTCATGAGTGAAAACCAACGGCCAAAAAAGGGGTCCCGTTTTGCGTTTTCTTGACGGATTTTTCTGCTTTTTTCGCTACTGGCGTACCATTGAGCACCACCACGTCACATTGAACCTTCTTGAACTTATCGAAATCGCTGCCTCTAAGTCAGCTACCCAGATATCTCGTATTCGAATTTAATCAGCCACATTATGAACTTCTAACAAAACACAATAGAGCGATCGCCGCTAAATTCCCCAATGACAAATGAGTGAATAAACATGTCCATGATCAAAATTTCAAAATATAGCTGGTACACGTTACAGTGATGAAATATAGTTCCTTGGGCTAAGGATTTCTATCTGAGATTAGTTTTAGTCGGCTTTTTGTGAGCACACTCTTTATGAAATCATTGGTGTATGACACGATCCAGAAAGTTTGTTCAAGAAACTAGCAGGGCCAAAAAAGAGTCACTATGCCCGTAGCGAACATCATCAAACTTTTGGTCTTAATGCCGCTGTTGAGAAAAACTTCATAGCAATGTATTCCCTAGATGTCCCTCCATAAGCAGAAGCAGGCCCTCCTTCACTGCCCTCACCGTCTTCAGAATATGACGTCATCTGTCACCGTCGAGCTCAAGGAGGCCTACCGTAATCGCTCCAGCCTGAAGTTGCTACTACTTTCTTCACTGGTTGAGTTCCAACTAACAAGCACGTAAGCATCATATTTCCGTGAGAAAATCTTCTGATGCCGTTGATGTGGAAGTTGTTATGAAGACAAGTAATTTAGTAATAAGTTTTCGACAAAGAGTGGCAATAACTTTATTTGCCTCAGGAGGTCCCTTAAGCAAACGACCTAAAGGCTTTACCTATTTAAGCCGCGTTACTACCAGCTCGGGGTGGCAGGTGGACCTCTCTGGCCAGCATCTCTAAAGGTTCGTTCTCATCTCCCTCCATGACATCGTTTAGTAGTTTACACCCTGTTGAATGATTCTTGTAGGTTGAAATAGTGTTTGGACGGGTAGTTTCCTAAATGGCTTTCGACTTTTCCAGGCTCTGAAGAAGGTGAAAGCACCGAAACGTCGGCCAAATAAAGTTATTGACAATCTTGGTCGGAAGCTCAGTACTAAACTATTCTATTCTGAAAATATGCCAAGATTCATAAAAAGTCGGACATGGACGCTACTCTACTATGAAATTTACTCTATGAAATGAAATGATACATATTGGAACGTGCGCTTCAATATACGGTGACGGTAGGACACAGTGCTGCAAGAAGAGAAATGCGAGAGAGTGCGTCCTACACCAGAGAGCGTGAACGCCATGCATGTCGCACTCGATAAGTATGCGAAGGTGTCGTGCATCACGCGATTGGCGACCTCTGTTTCTCACTTTGGAAAGGATTGGCTCTGGCACCTGATACCGACTCGCTGCATAAAACCAAAACGGTGAATTCGAGCAAACTTCCATCAGCATTTCTCTAAGCAAACTAATCAATGGAAGATGCAAGAGATCCTAATAAAATATCAACACTTCCATTTTGAAATGATGTTCATTTGTTCGCATTTTTGATGAGCATTTGAAAGTTTGTTTAAATTCGTAAATTATTCATGCGTTTTCTATTCCATACACACTGTTATGACGGCGTAATGGCAGGGTCGTCTTCGCTGTTGAATATGTCATCCAAGTATTTGGAATTTTCACCTGAAAAAAGGCACCAGTTCCTCTTGTCTTCCTTCGATGTTTGTCAAAAGGCATCTTCGTTAACAAATGAAAAAGCCATTCGCTCTACCTTACCTTGTAAGGCATCCAGCTCAGGTATTGCAAAAGAACTCCTCACATCGTCGTTTTTGTTAACTGGTTCCTACAATTTCCAAAATGAATCAGCCGCCAACCAGTTTTGATCATACTAAAGGAAAACAAAAAACAATTATTAAACTTCTTCATTTGCCTGTCCATCAATAATCAATTCGCCAAGCTGAGCTGCCCGTCGTCTAGTGAACAGACCAGCTCCACTGATCCGTTCACTTAGGGTCAAGCAAGGATAAAGGGATCCTTCCCGAAGAATTCTGGCATTCTTCCCCAACATGAATATGTCAGTTGTGTTTGTAGAGACAACATGCAGGTTTCACGCACGAAGATTCAGTTTCCGAAGAGAAACAAACTTACGAAAACCACACTCTATGGACTGTCGAAGGTAAGTCGCGCGGAGCCAAAGGCGAGGCATGGAAAGAAGATCGCCTTGGGGCGGCTACGTATCAGGCGACGCAATGAAAGGCCCGGGTCAAAAATTTCGATTTTGAAGAATAGAGATAAAACGATCGATAGAATAGGATGCAGTAGAAGTGAGATGTTAGTGCAATAAGTCAAAACAAAAAAATTTTAGTGAGGCACTCCGAGAACCAAGTGGAAGCGTTCCCGTCGCCAGCATTTGTGACAGATGTACGGCGGAATTTGAACGCGTAGCAGTCCTTCGGTTTTGAATTGTTTACCAAAACAAAAACATTTTTTCTTTTCGTTCTTATTGTGAACGATGGGTCTCAACACAGTGACTTGTGGGTGAGATGGAACAATGATTTTCCGCGGATGAATCGTTCAACACCTATCAGTCGCTGATCTTTTGTTGGCTCCTAATCGAATTGACATCGTCAATAAGGCATTTGCTTTAGATTATTAAACAGCGTACTAGGGAGAGAATGAAGTCGATTCGCTGTTGTGTCTAGCGACCTTACTTTATTTGCTTTTTTGTTGGTGAAAGTTACCGTAATGTACAATATATACCTGGCCGTTCGCATCTGTTGGGTTCGGCTGCTCACCCCGGTCACTTGCATGATCACCCACTGCTGGATGCGCCTATATTCTGACACACATGTAAAAAAGCAAACAAAATTGGAGTGCGAAAAATGTTGGTCAACCTCCTCGTCCTTGTTTGCTCCGTCAACAATCCGCTCCTTCGCCGATAATGGGAATGCCATCTGTTTTCGTGCACCAAGTTCCGTAGGACGTTTGGACTTATCCGCGCTATTCTAAAAATATCCATGCAGCAACCCGCATTAAAGTGATTTCCATTAAAACATGAGGAAGCCTCAATCTCACCTTTTCTGTTTCAGAGCTTTTCTTTTGCTGACTTTTAGACTTAGCAGCAGGGCTGAGTTGTGTATCTGCAGCCCAGTCTTGTTCGCCCTGGGAAGAAGACAGTAATACTTGCTCACTTCTTTTCGTTTCATTTGCGTGAGTATGTACGATTACCCAATGTAAATACTTATACAAATGTGTAAGCTCTCTATTTTGTTCCATTCACTGTTCAACTACAGGCACCAATCTCTATTTGAACGAGTGTGCGCTGCTTTCAACCCCATAGGTGATCAAAAAGCTTCTTGCACACGTACTGTATGTCACTGCTTTTTTTCTGCCAGACGACTCGGAGACAGGGTCGATCTTACCGTTGCGACTTTTTCAAAATTTTTTGCGACCCCCCTTACCAACCTTATTAACCCTCTAGACCACTCATGAATTCTTAGATCACATCGAATACAACCCCCTACCTGCAGTCTCTATACGACCCCCTCCCCCCTCCCCCGTTGGTACTTGTCGCAACTTAGGATTGAGCCTGCCCGGACAGGCAGATTTTTCGAAGGACTGTAGGAAATAGTATAAAAACAAATAAGTACTCACCGGCTTAGCATTCGGTAGAACTTTTTCGTCTCCATGTTCGACATTGTCTGCAAAGGGAACCAAACATGGCCTCTTTCATCAAATGCTTTTCATACAAAATTGGCTGAAGTATAGAGAACAGTGTTCCAAGAACATAGGATATTAAGCAATTCACGACTACCATAACGCTTAAACATCGAGCATGTAATAGCAGGTTTTGATCAAAACGACAAATAATGGTAATGAAAAGGCAACATTCATTATATTCCGCCGCAGTGTAGGTTGGAAGTTTTTTTGACCAGGTACTCATTCTAGACATTCATTGTCGCGCCCTTGTGCCCCTGAGTGGAAAGGATTGGAACGCATCGGCGGAGAGCACCGAGGACACGCAGAGATGGGTATTATAAGGGCCCAACACCCTATCTACGGGGGACACGTCGCACTAGAATGCTCTGACGACTGATGCCTGCAGCGGACCTGACTTTGGCCCTTTTTTCCCCGACCCGATAGCTGATGACTGATACTACTAAGATATGCTAATAAAGATGTGTACTTATTGCTACATAACAGAACACTACATATTAAAGGCTTTTATGACTAACTTTACAATAGACTACATGACTACATGAGAGAGAGATATATGATGATATAAAAGAACCTACGGGCGCAACCGGTAAGATAAGCGGCGGGGCATGCGAACCGATCCTTGAGCTGACGATGGTGGTGACATGACGACCGGCTCCAACCGAGGCTGAGGACTTCGTAGACGCAACCACTCGGCGAGGCGACAGGACGACGACTGATGACTGCTGGCAGATGGGCGCGAATCGAGCAGGGACGCAGAGAGCTTCCCGCGGCGGCATGCGTTTGAATCATGGGAAAGCGTCTGCGTCCGTGAGAAAGCATAGTCTCTCGTCCTCCATGGCGTGAGAATGTGACTGGAGCACGGCATCCTATCGGCGCATACCCTGTACGCTGAAAAGGTCGTGACGAGAGTCGCGACACTCATCTTGCCATTCATAGAGTTTTCTCACCACTTCCAGTGTTCTTTTCATTCACATGCTTATGGCAACGAAAAGGAAAAGGGAAACTAATCAATTTCACACGGCCCACAAAACATTTTCAAAATGAAGCATATGTAGGCTTCCAATGAATTCCGTCGCTTCTGGTGTTCAATAATCCCTACTCAATGTATAGTATATCAGAAACATGGAAGAATTGCGATATAAGCGATTATTTGCTGACAGCTTATATGGCAAAGTGTCCCACAAGATCACCTCCCTAGCAAGCCATATTGTCGTCGGCGAGGATGCGTTAAGCAACGCTGTACGTCTGAACTCGATCAACCAAAGCAAAGATGCAACTGTGGAAGTGTTTTTCCCTTCTAAACATGATTCGGTTGGTACGATTTTTTCCTGAATGTGCAGCAGGTCCATGTAAACCAATGAAATAAAGCTAGCTGACGGATAAAAATTGCTTTTGCAACCATATTTTCTGCCTCCATGTCACATGGAGGTAACTCTTTTACAGTCTCAGTGTAGGACATTCTCGGATTGAAATGACGAATGAATGAATGCAAACTTATGTGGTTAGTTGTCGCTCTGGTAAAATATAGATACAACCTATACGGGTGTGCAAAAAAGTCATAAAGAACTTGAGAAGGACGGAATGGGCTTTCCCAAAGTGTCTGAAGGGAAGGTTTTTATGGGCGCTTGCTTACCGCATGCCTTGATGTAACAGAAGAAGCAGTGTAAGCCTAGCATTGAAGCTCTTCTTCGAATACTTTCTTTCTGAAGGTGATAAAAGCTAACTTACCGTGATCAGGGAGCTCGCCACCTGGAGTTGCCTGAAAAATCCTGTCCTATAATTGTTTAGAGTGTTCCTAAGCAATTTTATTTTGAAAATTCAACAGAGGTCAACGAGACGACTACAATGATAAATGGATGGCTCAGGAAGTATATTATTGCATTTTCTCCTATATTTTGTATTTCGTACTATGTATTTTTTTATTTTTGTATTTTCTCCTGGTGCTCATTTTTTTGGAAATGAACATTGTAGAAAACCACAGTTTTGGGTGGATCATTCTTTCAAGTTATGAGGACTTAACTATCTAGGCTAGAATCGCCTTCACTTAGCCTGACTGGAGTCGCTACACTGAATATCATTCACAGTCGTTATTCGGGGCTGAACTCTTCTCAAAATAGAGCGAAATACAGATTAGAGCAAATAGAGTACAGATAGAGTAAAGAATGTAAACCTCAACCTTGAACCACATTCAGGCCTCTGAAGGACGACGATTTGTCGAAACGTTAGGCCGATTAATAAACGTTCCACCTATCAACCTCGTATGGCACAGAAACAAACACAAACAAGAACAACTGATGCCGAGGTTACAAGAAGAGAGGAGTTGGAGAAAACAGATTAGAGCGTTTCTTGCTGCATGGTGTTTCTTGTTGTTAACGATGTCAACTATTTTATAGTGCCAGTCAATCTTTCCTGCACTGCTCTGTGACGCACTGGCGTAAACGGGGTGAAGGTCCTGCGCATCAAACGTCATGTGTTTCTTTATTAGTGCAAAGCTGAGTGAAGTTTTTTGGCTGCAGAGGCCTTATTATCAGCATTCCTTGAACATACGACGCAGGGGTGGTTGGACTATCTCTCTGAGCCTTTGCACCAATGACGTGAACAGCTCTCAACCGTCGTGACGAAAAAATATACTCTTAATAAATATACTCTTATAGCTAAAAATGAGAAGGGACCGTATGCGATGCGATAGGAGACGTAGTTGTGGCACAAAGTGTTCCAGAAACATAACACATGCTCCAGAAACGACGCACATAGGAGTCAAATGTTGTGCGTTCTACCCCATACTTGGCCATTCTACTCGATGTCCATTACCTCACATCTTTGCCCTTTATGGTTGGACACTCCCTCAGCGTAAAACAAGGAGCACTGTGCTTCCAGTGTCCTTGACATTCACTTTCCTTCATTTGAAGTAGTGCCCTACTTTTCGCTAATACTTCTACGTAGTAGCAGGATCGCTACACCAACTCGAACGGACTACCGCTTCTGAAGGAAAACGATTTGTAGAAGAACTTTAAAACCCAAGTTATCAGTACATTGCTTCTGCACGGCCCGGCAATACTACACATTGAAAGGTCAACCAGTTGGCTTTAAAGAAAAATGCCCAACCTTAGCATCTTTTGCTTGTTTTGCAGTTTCCTGGGCCTGAATAAAATAAAATAGTCGAATTTTTTGCAGCTCTAGAGTGCGTGTGATGTAAAGCGACATAATAACTTACGTCCACATTCTCTTCAATTTTTTTCTGAAATAGAAATATTCATTGTATTGTTAGTCAAGGAAATAAATGACAAAGTGGCGTAGCATTAGAGGTAGGGTTGATTATACCTACATTTACAGTATAGACATGGTCGGATTTCGTATATTCCAAGCGAAAGCCGGAAACATATCGGTGAATCTAGCGGTTTCCTATCCTTATTAGGGAGCCAAATGGGTGTAGGTAGGCGTCCCAGGTGTCGCACGGGGAAACTCGATTTCTCAAGGAGCGGATAGATGAGAATAAAAAGTATGCTACCCGTTACTCAATCGATCCCCGCGGATATCAAATGTATGATTGCTCGCTATCAAAGATGCTGAATGTAAGAACGGTCAAAAACATTTCTTAGCATGTGTGGTACAACTTCTTCCTACTTTCATTGTTGTCGTGAAAGGACATTCAGTAGGTTCCGTTGTTCCGAACGTTCGTTGAGAGACCTTTCACTGTTTCATGGATGGTTTGTTTTTTGAATTTGCTGTTAGTATGTACCAGTTTTATTAGTTGAATCGTTGGGGTTTTTCTAGAAGGAATTGCTGATGGAAAGAGACGTTCACCTTCACCTTCTGTTTTTTAGGTTTGACTTTCCTTTTGCGAACCCTTCGCCGTCTATTGCGACCAGCGTCTTTACGAATATGTCGCTGACCAATCGTTGAGGGCGACTTACCCTCGAATCTTCTCTGAAAAATATATTTTGAGATTTATGAAACCGTGATGACGGCAGATGGTGCTATCACCGATTTGTGGCATGATATAGCTCATCAGTCACCCTACCAAAGGCTTCTTCACAGGTCAACATTCGTTTGAAAGCACTCTTGAAGGTTTATGGCGAATCAAAACGGGTATTAAATGGAGGGTCGTCTAAACGAAACATTCTCAAAGGCAGATAAGAAAAATAGGATGTTTTCAGAGCACGTCACGAAGGATTTCGGAAGTCGACTAGGGTGCGGGTGGCGAAACCACTACCTAAACCTACGCTGTAGTGTGCATACCTGGTGGAGGTGTCATGGTAAGCTTTTCATAAATGAAACATAAGGATAACCTAGAAGTGTGTCTATGTGTATTAAGAGTTAACCTTTCGCGACAATGGCAGGCACGGTGGGTGAGGCACACTACGTGCAAATCCGCATTGTCGTCAAGTAGGATTAAGAAGTCTTCGCGGGAACATTCTGGCATTCTTGGTGTTTTCTTTCCTAACATGAATATGTCAGTTGTGATCACTGGAAATAGCACACAAAGTTTCACGCATGAAGATTCGGTTTCTGAAGAGAAACAAACGTACAAAAACTACACGTTATGGACCATCGAAGGACCAGGAGGCAGAGCCAGGCGAGGCATGGAAAGAAGACGGCGTTTGGCCGGCTACGTACCAGGCGACGCAATGAGAGAATCGGGTTAAAGCGCGCGATTTCGGAGAGTGGAGACAAATCGATCGATGGAATAGGATGGAGTAGAAGTGTAAGATGTGAATGCAACGAAGCAGAAGGCCAGAAAGAGCTTCTAGTGAATGCACTCCAAGAACCAAGTTTGAGCATCCCCGTCGCCAGCATTCGTGAAAGACGTCCGTGGGCAATTCGAACGCGTAGCAGCCTTTTCGAGTTTTCGAATTTCTAATCAAAACGAAAGCAATACTTCAGTTCTTTTCACTATTATCGTGGATAATGAGTCTCAAGCCAGTGATTTATGGCTGAAATAGAATCATGATTTTTCCGCGCAAGATTCCTTTAAGGCTTTGGTTCCAGGCCAATGGAGGAATCCGTGCTGTTCCCACTTGAGTAAGGAATGTGTCAAGTGGAGAGTCGGAACGTTCGACACGGTATTCTTTTCGGAAAAGCAGGTTAGGAGCAAAG